AAGTTTACTAGCAAAACAGTGAAACAGTACAGAAGGGGGATTGGTAAAATATCTCCTACCAGCTTCTGTGACATCTTCTAGGAAACTCGGCGGAGGCGCCTGTCGCAGTGAGGCACAAAGGCTGGCTTGACAAAAACTGGTAACCCTGACGCCTACTCACTTACTCTCCGATCGGTGTAGGAGATTAACATATGAGTAAAATAGGAGGTGAAAGCTTAGATATGAGAGTTAGGGGTCAGTGATACTAGCCTCATTAAAAGCAATAAAAGAAAAGGTTTTAGAATGAATATGCCTTACTGAGTAATGAAACAGTTCAATTCAACCAGTATTTTCAGTTGTTTTCAGTACAGTAAACACGTCATTGTGGTACATCCATTAACAGTAACAGTAGGTCTTAAAGGAACCGAAACAGTAATGTGGCCATCGTCAGTAACAGTAGTGGCTCCACGGGGAAACGACAGAGATCTCTGTAACAGTAACAGTATACAGGTAAAAAGTATGTAGGTACTAAGGATGGCCACAGTACAGTTCAGAAATAAAGACATACCATTCATCTCAGTAATAACAGTTCGTAAACAGTTCAGTTCAGTAAATTCAAAAAGATATCAGGTTGAAACATATCTTTAGCACATTGTTTACTCTCTACAGAGTTCGGGCTACAGTATGCCTAAGAGCGTGTCTCCCCAGTCGCGCAACCCTAACACAGTTAACAGATTGAAACACACTAGCCACACAATTGGGAACGGGTAACTTAATCCTATGCCTCGGTGTGTTCACATCTATAGTCCTCAAGAGAGAGAGAGAGAGAGAGCATACGCAGAGAGAAGACTTGTCGTCCTCGTCGCCGGTACCTGTCGTCCTCGCCGCAGCACCACCGCACCACCACCGTTCGTTCGCCGTTCGTAGGGATTTGGTTGAAATGATCAATACAGCCGTTCGGCTTCGTAGGGATTTGGGGGAAAGAAATTGGTTTCAAACATTTAGGGATTTGGATTATGTTTTGATTGAGCGGCAAGATGAATAAGGAAGAGCAGGGGCAAAAAAAATTTCACTTTTTGCGACGGTAGGTTTTACACCGTCGCAAATGGCAAGTATTTTGTTCATAAAACGACGCCGTTTAAATTAGACTTTTTTGCGACGGACATTTGCCGTCGCAATATATAAACTATTTGCGACAGCAAACATATGCCGTCTCAAAACATTTTTTTTGGCGACGGTAAAAACATCCGTCGCTACTACTGATGCATTTACTCCCCTATCTGCGCATTTTTTATTACCGACGGGGACAACGTCGTCGCTAAAGCCTTCATTTGCGACGGTTTAAGCTGCCGTCGCAAAAAATCATTTTTTGCGACGTGACAAGCGTCGTCGCTAATGCTTCCGTGTTTTTTACCCCCTTTTCTTGAAGTGTGTGTTCCAAGAAGGGAGTACAATCACAACAAACAGATTTGGTATAAATTATGTTTTATAAATATTTAATTTCAGCACAATTCTATCATTGAATATAAATATGATTAACAAAGAATACTAGAAATATCATGGGTATTGGATGCATTGAGTGGCCACCATGAACCTATGAATTATGAGGCCAATGAAAACCCACATACATCACCACCAGATGATGAGTAAAACTTTCAAACACTTTGAAAACTTGTCGTTTGTGAAAACTTGTTGTTTAGAAACTTTTTTTTGGAACCAGTTGACTCACTAAAATGATCAAATGACGTTAGATATAAACGAAACTTGACACATACGACGAACTAGACACAAATGACTTGTAGGAGAAAACGGAACTTGAAATTGATTTCTGGTTTTAAATCTAGAGCCTTATTTTTTTGAAATAAATATCAAATGTTTTATATTTTTTGTAAGCTTGAAATTAATTATATTGTAAATGATAATTTTTTTTTGGCTTTTTTTTGTAGATGCAGCCTCTTTTAAGTACGTGATGATATCTTCGCATATCGATATTGGAGCTTACGGTTGATATTAAAACAAGCTATAATATATATGTTTTTTATTATCGAAATTTTGTTTTGTCTTAGATACAAAGATTTGAGTTCTTTAATATAAAAAATTATTAGGATTGTTGGAGGATGTTTTATATATTTTTTTGTAAAGAATATTTGGTTAATAATTATTACAGAGTACATATATATATATATATATATATATATATTCTTCGTATGATTTTGTGTATGTGAATGTGGATGTATTTTATTAAAAAAAAAATATTAATAATTTGTATAGGGAATGAATTAATAAAATATATATTGATTTTATGAAAATAATTTTATTGCGACAATAATAAACCGTCACTAATGTAATCATAATTTCCTTACATTTTATTAGTAACAGGTTAACCTGCCGCATATACATATTAGTTCAAATCTTTAGTCACTACAACAAAAATAGTCTTTAGAGACGAAAACTAATGACGAAAATAAATTTTATCATGAAAGACGTACCTTTTAATGACGAAAATAATATTTCGTCTCCAAATGTATTATTTTTAGATATAGAAATAAAATTTCGTCACCAATTTAAATACATAATAAAAAAATTAGATGACGAAATTATTTTTCGTCATTATTTATATTTTTTTGTCACCGAAGATTTTCTTGCTAATTTTTTTGGATGGCGCCAAAATTTTGAGACTTTTGGTGAGGAAAAAATTGGACACCAATTATAAAATTATTAGTAATGAATATATTTTCGTCACCAATAATTTTTAATATTTTAATATTATTTAGTAGGTAAATTATTTTCGTTGTCAACAATTTTATTTTTAGCGGGGAAATAATTTTGTCACAAGAAACTATTAGAGTGATTTCCTCCACATTGTGAAATCAATTTATGCATCCTTAGTATGATTCACATTATGACTTGGTAGAATCTTGTCAGTGTATCCCTAGTATGATTCACATTATGACTTGGTAGAATCTTGTCAGTGTATCCCTAGTATGATTCACATTATGACTTGGTAGAATCTTGTCAGTGTATCCCTAGTATGATTCACATTATGACTTGGTAGAATCTTGTCAGTGTATCCCTAGTATGATTCACATTATGACTTGGTAGAATCTTGTCAGTGTATCCCTAGTATGATTCACATTATGACTTGGTAGAATCTTGTCAGTGTATCCCTAGTATGATTCACATTATGACTTGGTAGAATCTTGTCAGTGTATCCCTAGTATGATTCACATTATGACTTGGTAGAATCTTGTCAGTGTATCCCTAGTATGATTCACATTATGACTTGGTAGAATCTTGTCAGTGTATCCCTAGTATGATTCACATTATGACTTGGTAGAATCTTGTCAGTGTATCCCTAGTATGATTCACATTATGACTTGGTAGAATCTCGTCAGTTTTTAGGAGTACATAGACATTTGTACAAGATGCTAAAATATACCCTTTATTTTTGACTTGGTGATCCATCTTTCTCTTTTTTTTGTTTTGGGCTGCATGATGTCTGTTTTGCGATTCTATTGGATCATTAGCTTCCATGTCTTTCCTTTGTACATCAACACGTTTGTTTGGTATAAAACAAATGAAAGCTGAAATGTTGGCTATTGTGTTCCAAGAAGGGAGTACAAATCACAACAAACAGATTTGGTATAAATTATGTTTCATAAATATTTAATTTCAGCACAATTCTATCATTGAATATAAATACGATTAACAAAGAATACCATAAATATCATGGGTATTGGATGCATTGAGTGGCCACCATGAACCTATGAATTATGAGGCCAATGAAAACCCACATACATCACCACCAGATGATGAGTAAAACTTTCAAACACTTTGAAAACTTGTCGTTTGTGAAAACTTGTTGTTTGGAAACTTTTTTTTGGAACCAGTTGACTCACTAAAATGATCAAATGGCGTCAGATATAAACGAAACTTGACACACACGACGAACTAGACACAAATGACTTGTAGGAGAAGACGGAACCCGAAATTGATTTCTGGTTTTAAATCTAGAGCCTTATTTTTTTGAAATAAATATCAAATGTTTTACATTTTTTGTAAGCTTGAAATTAATTATATTGTAAATGATAATTTTTTTTTGGCTTTTTTTTGTAGATGCAACCTCTTTTGAGTACGTGATGATATCTTCACATATCGATATTGGAGCTTACGGTTGATGTTAAAACAAGCTATAATATATATGTTTTTTATTGTCGAAATTTTGTTTTGTCTTAGATACAAAGATTTGAGTTCTTTAATATAAAAAATTATTAGGATTGTTGGAGAATTTTTATATATTTTTTTGTAAAGAATATTTGGTTAACAATTATTACAGAGTACATATATATATATATATATATTCTTCGTATGATTTTGTGTATGTGAATGTGGATGTATTTTATTTTAAAAAAATATTAATAATTTGTATAGGGAATGAATTAATAAAACATATATTGATTTTATAAAAATAATTTTATTGCGACAATAATAAATCGTCACTAATGTAATCATAATTTCCTTACATTTTATTAGTAACAGGTTAACCTGCCGCATATGCATATTAGTTCAAATCTTACAACAAAAATAGTCTTTAGAGACGAAAATTAATAATGAAAATAAATTTTATCATGAAATACGTACTTTTTAATGACGAAAATAATATTTCGTCTCCAAATGTATAATTTTTAAAGACAGAAATAAAATTTCGTCACCAATTTAAATATATAATAAAAAAATTAGGTGACAAAATTATTTTTCGTCATTATTTATATTTTTTTGTCACCGAAGATTTTCTTATTAATTTTTTTGGATAGCGCCAAAATTTTGAGACTTTTGGTGAGAAAAAAATTGGTCACCAATTACAAAATTATTAGTGATGAATATATTTTCGTCACCAATAATTTTTAATATTTTAATATTATTTAGTGAAAAAATTATTTTAATTATCAATAATTTTATCTTTTAGTGAAAAAATAATTTTGTCACCAATTACGTAGAGAAAATTAGGCACAATGAAAAACATGCTACTAATTTTTTAATAGAACCTTTTGGCTTCTGAACATAGAAATTTGTAAGCTGCAAAGCCTAGTGGAAGAGAGGGAGAAGAGAGAGGGTTCAAAGGAAAGACTGGTTCGAGCGGCGCAAAACTTCAACTTGGAACAGTGCTCTCCATTCAGCCGCGAGATGGTTTGGCGGTGGCGACGATCCACGGTTCCATTCTTGAGGTATGTTCTGATTCCCACTCTCTCTCTCTCTCTCTCTCTTTTTCGCATTCACTCCATTTTTCAATTTCCTCTTCAAAATTCCCAAACACGCCACGTGCTTTCCCCCACTCTCTCTTTCTCTCTCTAGATTTTTCCCATTTCAATCGGTGTCTCCACAGGTACAAACCCTTTCTCAATTTCTGATTTGATATTCGAATTTCATTCTCTCTGAATATTTGTTTGGCTCTGTCATATCTGTGTTTGCTATTTTTTATTAGGATTTTATAACTGTTCTTTTGGATTCACATGTCTTGATTTTCTTCTTGTTGGGTTGATTTGTGCTATTAGGGGCTTGTGAAAGCCAAATATTCGATTGGTGCTGTATTACCAATTCGAGGTTTGCCTTGCTTTTTAGTGGGTTTGCTTCTTTGTTCGTGTTAATTTGATCTTACCTCTGGAAAATAGGCCTAAGGACTGAAATTGCGGTTGTGGAATTTGGCCATTTACGCAGCTTCCATTGAACCATTGTTTGCTTATTTTCTGTAAAGAAGATCGAAAGATACCTTGATGACTTCAATTTTGTTCTGAATTTGATATTTTTTTTAGTGGAATTCTTGTGATTTTGGGTTTGTTTCGATCTCGTTCTACATTGAGTCGATTAATTGATTCCCAAGAGTAGAGGATAATGCTTAGTACCTCAGTTTTATTCGAATTTTAGTACTTAATTTCTTAACTTAGTTAAGAACTCTTGCATGACCCACTAAAATACTGATTAATTTGTTGCCTACTTTATGCTTTTGGATTGCTATTATTTTATTAAATTAGAAAGAATTACCATGATCAAAAGGGCTTCTCAATTACAGGGCTTAGCTTGGTGATTTGAGTCTCATGAGCTGCATCCCCTTCCCCCTTCACTTAAGAGTATTTATATGTATGTATGTTGTATACAATGTTTGGAGCTTAGCCAATATGTCACTAACTTGAAATGCTATATTTCATCTTTAGTTAAAAACATCATTGGGTCTCAATATGATTCATATAACTTGGAACAATTACTGTCCATCCATGTGAGATATAATTGATTCATTATATTTCTAATGGGAAAATACTGATTAATTTGTTGCCTACTTTATGCTTTTGGACTGCTATTATTTTATTAAATTAGAAAGAATTACCATGATTAAAAGGGCTTCTCAATTACAGGGCTTAGCTTGGTGATTTGAGTTTCATGAGCTGCATCCCCTTCCCCCTTCACTTGAGAGTATTTATATGTATGTATGTTGTATACGATGTTTGGAGCTTAGCCAATATGTCACTAACTTGAAATGCTATATTTCATCTTTAGTTAAAAACATCATTGGGTCTCACTATGATTCATATGGAACAATTACTGTCCATCCATGTGAGATATAATTGATTCATTATATTTCTAATGGGCATGCATTTTTAAAAAAAATATAAATATCCACAATTTGGTTTCTCAACAGGAAAATCAATATAAATTGGTTTCTAAAAAGATATGAATCTCTAGGTTTCATGAGTTTGTTCTCATAAGATGTAAAGTTTTCAGTCATTTAGGAGTTCAAAACCATTCAGACCATTTCCACTTTGAAAAAAAAGTACCTGAATTTGAAATGAGACTTTGAAGTTATACATTATACTTGAAGTAGAAAGCACAAATTTGATTTTATTTTTTTTTTCATTTGGTAAACTGTACATGCTAGACACCTCCAAGAGAAAGAGAAGGGTAAGTACAGACCAATCTCATTAGAAATTTAAATGAGTCATGATCTACTTATACCTATTGAAAATGAATCTTTCAAAAAAAAAAAAAAATTGAATCTTACATGGTGGGTAAGTACTAAACTACCTAATAATTATCCATTAGATAACCCAACCCAACTTATTTATTTTAGCTTGCTCCCCCAACCAAATTAACTTTATCTGTTCTGTCTAACTAAACCTGACTATGACTGTCTAACTAAACCATAGAGAGAGCTGTAGCTGCAACTGCAACTGTTGTTGTTGTAGTATTAGCTGCTCTGTCTGTGGACCGTGATCTTGGCAGTTGGCTATTGTTACTGCTCTGTCTGTGGACTGTGGCCTTGGCTGCAGCTGGCTGCTATGGCTGCTGCTGCTCTGCCTGTGGCTGAACTACTACTCTGCCTTATCAAAAGATCCTATTGTTTAGAGCAAGTTCTAAACATGCCTATGCATTCCAGAATATATATACATATATTATTTAGAGGGATATTTCCTGAAAACCACCGAGATGAGATTCTTTTTAGAATTATAACTTGATAGTTTTAATGATCAATATAATGCTATAGAAAGCCGACCAACTCAATATTAAATTTGTAATATTTTATCAGTTTCAATGTAGTGATATATCTAAGTGAACCCCTTGTTTTTTTTTTTTCCCCGAACCCCCTTCTCTCTATGTTGAAACGTTGGATTTGATGACTCCAAAGTGCCATCCTTTATTTGTATAGTTTTTTTTCCCCAATAATTCTAAAATATTGTGTTTTTTAATTATATTTTGTAATGGTTGATTGTAATTTGTCCATCAGACCTCTTTCTTTGGCCTATTAACATTTGGAATGTCCATTTATCCAATGAAAAATCTTGCTGTATCTGTAACCTTTAATTGGCATATTGCTTCTTTTGAAATAGGAATAGCTGTGTGACATATTTAAAATCTTAATATATTAGGAAGCTCTAAATACAAAACTTCTTCAACCTGCAAAGAAGTGGTTTATTTTAGTTGGTTTATTTTATCTCCACGTTTGGAGAGATTCAAATTAGGGGTTATGAGAAAAGATTTTCTCTCCATTTCTCTCCTATTTGCTTATCCAAACTAGTGATATAGACCAAGAGAAAACATTTCTTTTCTTTTCTTCCCAAATCATCCAATCCAAATTCGCTCTAAATGTGTGAATGTATGTCATATTTCTACTAGCAATAAGTGGTGATGACTTGAGATTATGCTTATTTGTGTCGTAAGTGTGGTAGTGCTGGCAACGTTGTTTGTAGCATACATGACTAGGGGGAGTGCATTATGTGATGATGATTGTGATGGCACTTCCTAAGTGGTGTTAATAGTGGTAGGAGTACTTTCAAGAGCTATCCAGAAACTGTTTCTATGTTTTAAATGTGTTCATGAGAGGAAATTATTGTAGCTATAGAACCTAGATATGATGAGATAGATGAGACACTTCGTTCATAAGGGATCACGTGGCAATGCTCGATGAATTGAAGCTATGTAGGCTATTTTTTCTATAATCTGTTCTATCCTGACTGTAAGATGCCACTGTTAACATTGAGATCTATGCTGATATTTTTTTGATAAAGCTAGTGCTCTCACCAACAATTTAATGAAAATCATTGACATAAGCTCTAATTGAATGAGATACTCAATTGGTCATAGTGGTTTGAATTGAATGATATGCTCCATTGAATGACCTATTTTCCTGTTAGATGGGTATTTTTCTTCTTCCTCTTCTTCTTCTTGATGAGCAATGTTTTAGATGGCAATCCATGTACAAAAGTAAATTTATATCACCTTTTTCTATTCTAGCTTGTTCCTTCTATCACTGCATAGTCAATCATGTTTGTTGTTTGGGACTTGCTAACAACAGCCCAATGTGCATTTATTAAGAACCACAAAATGCCCAAAATGTTACATTTTCAATACACATTTCACATCTTTTTGTACATTTTATTTTTATTTTATACATTTTCCACAAATTTCAATATGTTTTTTACACACATACCAACATTAACCACTGCCCATATTTCCATATTTGTTTCGACCATGAGCTAGCCTATGTGTGACACAGTAGAATAAATATATTAATTGTTTGGTAAGTGTCCAATTAATTGAAGTCTATAAGTACGTGATATAATCTCCATTGTACTTGGCTTTTAATTGAAGAATATAGAGTATTGATTAGAGCCAAGTGCTCCTGTTCTCTCTTTCTTGATTTTGAATCTTATTGCAATTTTGGTTTCACGATAGTTTCTCGGTCTGTATCTTTTTAGTTATGTGTATCACATCAAATATTTTTCTTAAGCATGCATTTTACTTGGTTTTTGTTTGTATCTTTTACAATTCCCAGGTTTTAGTTGGTGTTGAGCGAGAGAGTGAGCAAAGAAGGCCTGGATATCGAAGAGGAAGGTTGCACACCAATTTTGATAGGGTTCATTACTTCAAGATCAAATAAAGTGCTCTACCTTTTTTTGTTGATAATCTTTGAGCACTTTGAAGGTTTCAAGTTGCATCTCTTTGTTGTTTTATATTCTCTAAAATTTGAACATGAACCAAATGATATACTAGAATTTAAGGAAACAACAAATCTTCTTTGTTAAGATTGAAGTTCTTTGTAGTAGTTTTCTTAATGAAGCAGTAGAACCAATTGTCTCGCAGACTGGTGCAATCCTCTTGACCCCAGAGGAGAGGAGTTGTCAGTCAAGGTGCTTAAGCCAAGGTCAGGTTATGTGAAAGGACTCGGCATGAGGCCTTTTTCTTCTTCTATGAATACAACTATTGCACCTGCTGAAAATAGTGACTATATTCAACGCCTTGAGATGCAAATAGCACAACAAAATGAACAAATTGCAAGGTTTCAAAAGTCAGAGAAGAAACAAAGGAAGAAGATACAAAATATCATAAAGTGTTTGAGGTAAAAAGGTGTGACGAGAAATTTTGAGAGTGGGGAAAGTTTAGATTCTGATGGACAAGCTTCTTGGTTAGTATATTATGTTTCTATGTTAATTTAATAGAAAATTTCTTTTTCAACTAGGGTAGAATAAAAAACTACTTTGACATTTAGGCGCGAAGAGTCCCGGGAAAATAGTGAAATATGCATGTAAAGGCCCGGGGAACACCTCAAACACCTTGGGAGAGACCAATGTAAGTTGTGAAAACTTACAGAATTAGCACGGGACTCCCGGTTTGAAAACTAAGTCCAAAAATTCACTTTTTCATACTTAAGCTTGAAAAATAGGCCATTGGAGGTCAAAATCGTGCAACAACCACGAGACAGCCCGGGGAACACCTCAAACACCTCGAGAGGGACCAATTTAAGTTGTAAAAACTTACGGAACTAGCTCGGGACTCCCGGTTTGAAACTAAGTCCAAAAATGCACTTTTTCACACTTAAGCTTGAAAATAGGCCATCGGAGGCCAAAATCGTGTAACAGCCATGAGACGGCCCGGGAAACACCTCAAACACGTCGGGAGGGACCAATGTAATTTGTGAAAACTTACGGAACTAACACGAGACTCCCGGTTTGAAAACTAAGTTCAACAATGCATTTTTTTCACACTTAAGCTTGAAAATAGGCCATCAGAGGCCAAAATCGTGTAACAGTCACGAGAAGGCCTGGGCAACACCTCGGGAGGATCCAATGTAATTTGTTAAAACTTATGAAACTAACACGGGACTTCTGGTTTGAAAACTAAGTCGAAAAAAGCACTTTTTTCACACTTAAGCTTGAAAATAGGCCATCGGGGGCCAAAATCGTGCAACAGCCACGTGACAGCCCAGGAAACACCTCAAATACCTCGGGAGGGACCAATGTAAGTTGTGGAAATTTACGGAACTAGCACGGGACTCCCAATTTGAAAACGAAGTCGAAAAATGCACTTTTTCACACATAAGCTTGAAAATAGGCCTTCGGAAGCCAAAATTGTGCAACAGTCACGAGACGGCCCGGGGAACACCTTAAACACCTCGGGAGCGACCAATGTGAGTTGTGGAAACTTACGAAATTAGCACGGGACTCCCGGTTTGAAAACTAAGTTTAAAAATGCATTTTTTTCAACTCTTATGCTTGAAAATAGGCTATTGGGGGGCCAAAATCGTTAAACAACCCCGAGAAGGTTCGGGGAACACCTCAATCACCTCGGAAGCAACCGTTGTAACTTGTGTAAACTTACAGAACTAGCACGGGACTCACGTTTTGAAAACTAAGTCCAAAAATGAAATTTTCCAACACTTGAGCTTGTAAATAGGTCATCGGGGGCCAAAATCGTTAAACAACCCCGAGAAGGTTCGGGGAACACCTCGATCACCTAGGAAGCAACCGTTGTAACTTGTGTAAACTTGTGGAACTAGCACGAGACTCACGTTTTGAAAACTAAGTCCAAAAACGAATTTTTCCAACACTTGAGCTTGTAAATAGGCCGTCGGGGGCCAAAATCGTATAACAGGCACAGGAAGGCCTGGGGAACACCTCAAACACCTCGGGAGGGACCAATGTAAGTTGTGAAAACTTATAGAACTAGCACCGGACTCCCGATTTGAAAACTAAGTTGAAAAATGCATGTTAAATTGTATATTTAATTGATAAGATAATAATTGTCTAACTTGCATTCTTTTTTTTTTCTTTTTTTTTTTTTGTGTTTCATTTTTTTGCAGATTCGAGATTTGATATGGAAATATTTGGTAATTTGGAGAGCAGAAGCTAGTTCATTTTGTGTTTTTTTTTCATATTGCCTTACATGTATTTTGGTTGCGTTGTAAATTTTATATTTTTGTTGGTATTACAGGACATGTTTGGTAATCCGCACTTGATATTTTATTTTTGTTGGTATTAGTAGACATGTTTTTTGTGGATATGAGGAGACCTGTTTGGTAATCCGCATGCGGTTGATATTATATTTTTGTGAATATTAGTAGACATGTTTTTTGTGGATATTAAGAGACATGTTTTTAATCCGCATGTAGTTCATATTGTATTTTTGTGGATAGTGCTGAAATTCGATTGTGATGTTTATGAAAATGAACAGATTTTTGTATTGATTTGTAATAGACAAGGAAGCACGGGTGCGGGTATGAGTACGGTACGGGTACGAGTGCGGGTACGCCGATTCGGCAAAACTCAAAAAAAGTACGATACGGGTACGGCTACGGTACGCCGATATTTTTTTATTTTTTTTAAAATATAATTTTGATTAAAGGATCCAACCTACAAATTAAAATTAAATATCAAAACTAAAAAAAGAACTACTCATTTTCCTATAATTTAAAACCATTAAGCGTTAAAAATAATATTTGTGAAATCTCTCACTTTGATATGTTATGCACTGTGAATTTGTGATCATAATTTATTTTTAAAATCTTTCTTTTTGCTCATCAATTTGTTATTTTTATAGGGTGAGACCAAAGAAATAACAGGAGACCAAAGAAAGATTTAAAGTTAATTACCAACAATAAAGGAAAAAAATTCTCAATTGGTGCAGGTTGTCAATTGCAATTTGCATAATACATAAAATTGCATCATTCCCAACAACTACTAATCAACTAATACAGTATCAATTTTTAATGTTTTGTGCATAAACTTTAAAAGTTTGTTATGATTAAAGATTTTATAAAGAAATCCTAGGAGGATTTAAAGCAAAAGCATAATGCATAGTCATACACAGAACTATCCTTTATAGGCCTTGTTATTTTTTTTGGTTCAAATTGCTTTTTAAAAACATTAAAATCATTTGTTGATGTGCTTCTACAATTTATACAGACAAACAGGACAACAGAGAAACATCAAAATTACTGATCTGCAAGGGCACCAAAAAAAAATAAAAATTAATAATAATAATTGCTAATTTGCAAGGGCAGAAAAAAAAAAAAAAAAAAAAATTTGGCCATGCCGTACCCATGCCGTACCCGAATAAGCCAAACGTACCGGACCCTCTTTTGCTGTACCGGGTACGCGTACCGCCGTACCGGTACGCGTACCCGCACCCGGTAAGTACCCGGTACTCGTACGGCACTATTTTTGGAGTACCCGTGCTTCATAGGTAATAGATATTTTATTGAACAGGTTATTGAAATGCGCAAGGAATTTTTACTGAAAAAAAAAATAAATTAATTTGAAAATAGTATTCCCATTTTAAATTTTTTTAATTATTATTAGTAACGAAATAAAAAATGTCGCTATTAGTTTTCAAAAAACATGACGAATAATTTTGTCACTAATGTTATAGTACCAAACAAATAATTGTCACATTTGCTGAATATTTTGTTGCTAAATTGAAATATTTGGTGACAAAATATTTTGTCATTGAAGAATTTTCTTTTCTGTTTATTTTAGTGACGAATTTTGTTGTCACCTTAATCTATATCATTAGTGAGGAAAACTTTCGTCACTAATATCTATTTGGTGACAAAATATTTTGTCGCCAAAAACAATTAAAATAAAATATTATTTAGTTTTGATGACGAAATTGATGTTATAGAGAACAAAAAATGTAACATTTGGAGATGTAACATTTGGTCGCCAAAAATGAAAAATAGGCGACAAAACTTTTTTTCGTCACCGGGTACTTTCAGCGACAACGTATAGGCGATAAATGTGGTAACAAATTTTTTTCGCCACAGTTCACTTTAGTGACGAAAATTTGATGTTTAGAGACAAAATCAGTCTGTCACCAAAGGCCTTTTTTGTTGTAGTGAGTGACGATTTAAACTATCACAAATATAGTATTAATTTACTTCTACTGTTTTGGCAACGTTTTAGACCGTCACTAATAATACTTTTCGTAACATCAAATACCATTGCTAAAAAATTTTTTGGCGATGGCAACCAACTAAAAGTGAAGTTTTTCCCCCTTTTTTTTGTTAGGTTAAACTATCGCAAAAATCATTGATTATCCGTCGCTACAAGAAAGTGACGGTTATAAACGTTTTAGACCGTCACTAATAATACTTTTCACAATGTCAAATACCGTCGCTAAAAAAGTTTTTGGTGACGGCAACCAACATCGTCACTAAAAGTGAAGTTTTTTCCCCTTTTTTGTGTTAGGTTAAACTATCGCAAAAATCATTGATTATCCGTCGCTACAAGAAAGTAACGGTTTATAACCGTCACAAATACTTTTTGTCACGCTCCCTTCTGCCACCCCCCATTTCACGTCACTGCTCTGTCACAAAAAGTCTTTTCTAACAATATGCATGCGAACCTTTTGCAATGTTTAAGATCGTCGCAAAAGTTCCGGTTTTTAGTAGTGGATATCAAATAAGATCGATATGCAATGTAAATTATGAGGCAAAAAAATTTGAGAAATTTTGCTGGAGAAAATAAAAATTATTGCGGTTGTTAATTAAAAAAAAATATAATAATTCTAGTTGAGATGTTTCTCGATTTTCACCATTAATTGAGAAATTTCTCAATTATAACAATGAAATTTTTGTTGTTATAACACAAAAAATGCAAAATAGTAACTGTGAAACTGATAATTTGTCAATTAAGCATATAAAAGTTAACTTAGAAATTACTCAATTATAGTAATTAGGGGTGCAAGAAAGATAGTCTTAGCCAACCGCTTAATACCGATTGAAATTTCAATTTTTGACATATTTTTCATAATGTACCAATTTTGGTTTGAAATTTTTTGTACACTGAAACAAAACTAAACCAACCAAAATATTATATGTAAAATATGTTTCTATTTTAATTCTTTGCGGATCAAAAGATAAGTGACTAATTATACATGTTTTATAATAAAAATAAGGAATGGATGCCTTTGTAGAACAACTTTCACCATTTTTATTAATTTATTCCCAATGTGAGATTTTACAAGTTTTTTTTTTATATAAAACTCTTTAAAATCTTATGTGAATCCCTTCTCTATACCAAACCGATAAGACTGACAAAACCAGACTGTAGTATGCAGTTTATTTAGGTTCCTCAACTAACAAAATTGAAAAGTTTTGCTCGGTACTAAACTTTGCTTCAATTCTAACCGAATCGAATCGTATCGTTTACACCCCTAATAAGTAATTGTGAAAATTTTCAATTATTCACACAAAAATGCAAAATTTATCAGTTATAGTAACTGCAAAGTTGCGCATCACAAAATTGAAAATTCATCGATTGTGTGCTTATTTTATGCAATTTCATATTCAATAATAATCTTATTTAATAGATCTTGATGAGTACATTTCAAAAAAATAAATTTATTAAAAATGAATGTGTACAATAAAGTTATGGCAATTTAAGGTATGAAAAAAAATAAAAAATAACCAGACATCGCAGCATCTAACATGTAATATGTCAAGGGGCAAATTAGTTTGAATCTTCCATTAAAATTTAAAGATTGGACTTGACCTATATGGTTTGTTTTGAAAAGCTGGTTAAAAGTTAATTTTTTTATTTTAAAAAAAAATATATACTAAAAAAAATAAAGAAGTGATATAATCAAAATAAGTCAAAAGTAAAAAAATTTAACCAAGTTCCTAAATTAGGACTATGTAAACACAACCGATGGGTTATGAGTGGAGTTTTATGTGGAGGGGAGTTGGCCTGTGATTGCCTAGAGAAGAGGGTTATAGTTGCAAAAATGCTTGGGACTCCTAAAGTTGGAGACTCTCATGACCCTAAGGCCATGTTTGTTTGAGTGGACATGAGATTGGGATTGGACTAATAGTCCAATAAAATTATTAATCCGATGTTTGGTTAAACAATTGAAATAGGGACTAATTATTTTAAAATTGACTATTAGTTAAGATAGGATACATAATCTAACGGATTCGTAGTCCTAGGACTATTAGTCATGGGAATGCTAATCCAGTCCGCCCAAACAAACATGACCTAAAATAATGTGGACCAATCATATGTCTTTTTTTTTTTTTTTCCTTCATATATCAATCACAGGTGAGTAAGGGTCTGTAGCATTGTTGGTTATAGTTGGGCAATGACTTGGCTGTGGTTAGCCCAAATAGGGTGCAGTTGTTGTTACAACAGCAAGATAATGAAATAAAATAGGGTAAATTATATTTACATTACTGATGTTTGGGTTTTATAGATATCATTTCTTGACATTTGAAAAATTATACTGAACCTTTCTCATTATAATTATTTAGACGGAATTAATGTTGATATCAAAAAGACATTGAATTTATACACTTTCTTTTTTCTTGTTTTGTTTTACTTTTTTTTTCAATGTAATTTCTGTTATTTTCTTATCAAGAGTTGTTATCTTTTATATAAGCAGGGATTTATGAAATGAAACTATTAACTATAGGAGTGAGAATGTAATTTTTAAAACGGTAACAGATGATATATAATTAAATCAAATTTCAAGAAATGTCAATATAATTTATCCAATAAAATAAGGTTTGCAGTGGTGGATTGTGCGGGATCTTTTCAAGTAAATTTACAACATACTTGGCAAATGTGGGATTTGGACAAAAGAGGGGATCTTTTCAAGTCAATTTACAACATACTTGGCAACATGTGGGTTTTGGACAAAAGAGGCACACGTAATCAATAGAGGCTGTAGACATAATAAAGAAAGAAAATATGTAATGTATATATATAGATTTATTGCTTTGTAATTGGGCACAATTTTAAAAGGTAAAATTAAAAATGTAATTAAATTAGTCATTTCTGAAAATTAAGATTCCTATAATTTCATTAAACTTCAGAAAGATTAGTGTAATTTAAAACTAAATCTCAAAAGAGATTTTTATTATTTCAAAATCTTAAAGAACGTTTTACAATCTTATTAAATGATTGTTTGGAGTGTTCTAAATAAGTGTACTTTTTGACTTTTTAGATTAAAAAGTTGAGGAAAAAAAGATGGTTGTTTGAGATAACTTTTTCATTTTTTACAAAAAAATGTGCATTAAAAAATAATATAAATTAGTGTATAGGAGAAGATTGTGATAAAATAGGCGGTATGGTAGGATAAATTAAGAGACAATGTGGTAGAGTATAGGCTAAGAGATAGTTTCTTCCTTTTTGGATATTGAATTGGACAGTGTTATTCGGCTCGTGGGGGCCCACCACGGGTCCCGTTTTGCTAATCGGAACTATTCAATGTGTAGAATTCGTTGAGTACTATATGCTTATAAAAAATCACGTTGATCAGATATCGATAGTTATCTGATTGGATTAGTTTTTTTCAACCGTTAACTTTAATACCATCATTTTTTATATAAAACTGATTTGATCATGTAGTTAGCGATATCCAATCAACGTGATTTTTTACAAACATATAGTACTCGAGGAGTTCTACACATTGTACAGTTTAGATTATTAAAACGGGGCCCGTGATGGGCTTCCACGGGCCAAACAGCACAGTGTTGTTTGTGTACCTTGCCTGTGCAATTTTTCCAAAAAAGTCATTTGTGTCTGTGGGGACGTCAGAGTTGTTTGTAATAATTTTGTGTAAAATTAATTTTTATATATATATTTTTTTGGTAAATAGTAATAACTTTTAAGTTTTTTTAATAACATTTTAGCTTTTTGAATTTTTTTGGTATCCCAAACCAGGCCTCCACCTCATGAAATGTCAGTATAATTTAAAGTTAAACTTGAAAGGAGGTTTTTGTCATTGAGATTTCTGCAATTTTATTAAATATTAGGGAGATTAGTGTAATTTACCCTTTAATTTAGACATCAATAAAATAAAATAAATAAATAATTGGCTGTTGCTAATGCCAGAACATTTCAAGCTGTTACCAGGAGAGTGTACAATCAATAATGCTGTGAGGAAAACGTAGGGCTTTTTGGAAATAGCAGCAACCGAAAATGACCTTTCCGTTTCTTCTTGTTCTTCGTCCTGAGCAGAGGAGAAGCCACGCTCTTCAGCCAACCAACCTCTCTGCCAGTGCCAGGTGACATTTGTCAATTTTCTTGGTTCTTTCTTGATTGCTTGGTTGTTCCAACTCTTAATACTGAGTTTGAATCTTTCCCCACAAATGTTGTTTAGTTTCAATTCAAAATTTTAGAAAATTGTTTGGGTTTAATGCATGCATTCATGGCATTGATATTGAAGCTACTAGGAAGAAGAGCTAACTTCAGAAGACACCCAATAGCCTTTACTGTTATTGATGCATTTTTTTCATCATGGTCATCAAGGAACCCTAAACCCACTTCTTATTCAAACCCTAATTTGTGTGCCCAATGTGTGGAAACCAATCAATTTGATGATAGTGAACATGGGTTTGAGAGAGTCAAGGAAACGGGAGTTAAGAAATCTAGTGCTGACTGTAGAGAAAATTATTATTTTGATGATTCAAATGATGAGTCTGAAGGAGTAGAGGGTGAGAGTGATAGCGATGATGATCTTAGGGTTCTGAACATGGTCAATACAAAGCAGCTGCAAAAAGGGGAAGATTTTATGAGAGTTGAAGGGGATGAAGATGAATTAAGACACCCTCTAGTGAAAGAAGTTTGTAGGGTAATTGATCTTGGGTCATCTTGGACTCCCAAGCTTGAAGGGGAGTTGAGGCACTTACTTAGAAGCCTCAAACCTCAGCAAGTTTGTGCTGTGTTGAGCTCTCAAGTTGATGAACGGGTGGCTTTGAAATTTTTCTATTGGGCTGATCGGCAGTGGCGGTACCGTCATGACCAAATTGTATACTATGCAATGCTCAATGTTCTCAGTAAGACTAAGTTGTGTCAGGGTGCTCGAAGGGTCCTTCGTCTCATGCTCAGAAGGGGAATTCAATGTTGGCCCGAAGCTTTTGGTTGTGTGATGATTTCATATAGCCGAGCCGGTAATATCAAGAAAGCAATGCGAGTCCTGTATCTGATGCAAAAGGCAGGAGTTGAACCCAATTTGTCCATATGCAACACAACCATTCATATTTTGGTAAAGGGGAACGGGTTGGAAAAGGCGCTGAGGTTCTTAAATAGGATGCAAATTGTAGGGATTGAACCTAATGCTGTCACTTATAATTGCTTGATCAAAGGGTATTGTGATACTCATCAGATCGAAGATGCATTACAGTTGATCGCCAAAATGCCATTTAACGGTTGTTTACCAGATAAAGTTAGTTATTATACAGTGATGGGTTTTCTCTGCAAGGAGAAAAGGATCAAAGAAGTGAGGGAGTTGATGGAGAAGATGTTGAAAGTTAGCAAACTATTGCCAGACCAGGTTACTTACAATACACTTATCCATATGCTATCCAAGCATGGTCATGGTGATGAGGCACTTGAATTTTTGAGGGAAGCAGAAGAGAGAGGATTCTTGGTCGATAAGGTTGGGTATAGTGCAATAATTCACTCATTCTGTCAAGAGGGAAGGATAGATATGGCAAAAGAACTTGTAAGCGAAATGTTCTCAAAGGGCTGCAACCCTGATGTAGTGACTTTCACTACTGTTATCAATGGGTTTTGTCGCATAGGAGATGTGGATGAAGCCAGAAAGTTGCTCCAGCAGATGGAAAAGCATGGTTGCAAACCAAACACTGTATCATATACTGCCTTTTTAAATGGGCTTTGTAGAAATGGGAAATCGGCAGAGGCGAGAGAAATGATGACCTCTAGTGAGGAAGAATGGTGGACCCCAAATGCCATAACATACAGCGTTGTCATGCATGGGCTTCGTAGGGATGGTAAATTATCCGAGGCCTGTGATTTAGTCAAAGAAATGGTCAGCATGGGCTTGTTTCCAACTCCAGTCGAAATTAACTTACTGATTCAGTCTCTTTGTCGAGAGGGTAGAGTAAATGATGCTAAGAAGTTCATGGAGGGGTGTCTGCATAAGGGGTGTGCAGTGACTGTGGTGAACTTTACCACTGTAATTCATGGGTTTTGTCAGAAAGATGACTTGGATGCTGCTCTCTCATTGCTTGATGACATGTATTTGAGTAACAAACACCCCGACACATTCACGTATACGACAGTTATTAACGCATTAGGAAGGAAAGGTAGAATAGAAGAGGCAATTGAACTGACCAAGAAAATGCTTCAAAAGGGTTTAGTTCCTAGCCCTGTTACATACCGGACAATCATCCACAGGTTCTGTGAGCAGGGTAGGGTGGAAGATTTGTTGAAATTATTGGAGAAGATGCTTTCAAGACAAGAGTGCCGAACAGCGTATAATCAGGTTATAGAAAAGCTTTGTAGTTTTGGAAACCTTAATGAGGCTTACAAACTCTTGGGGAAGATTTTGAGGACAGCTTCAAGAATAGATGCCATTACTTGCCACATGCTCATGGAGAGTTATTTAGGTAAAGGGATTCCTCTGTTGTCATATAAAGTAGCATGTCGAATGTTTAATCGGAATCTGATCCCGGATTTGAAGTTATGTGAGAAGGTGAGCAAGAGGTTGATGCTAGAGGGGAAAGCAGATGAAGCAGATAAGCTGATGCTACGGTTTGTAGAACGGGGATGCATTTTACCTCAGCACCCACAAAATGTGCAAAGCTAGGCTGCATTCTTCTCAATTGAATTGTGATAGCCATGGTTTTGTTTTCAATTCGTTGTACTCTGGTGATGGAGCTATATCTTGAGTTTCAATCATGTCAAGGTGAGCAAGAGATTGATGTAGGAGAAGGAATCCAAATGAACCCAATCCAATTTGAAAGGTCTGGACACCCACTAAGTTTAGGCTTGCTTGTGATGCTGCAAGGACTTCCCCTCTGGAAATATAGGCTCTTGAACTGGATTTCTTTACCAAGTTCCCTCTTGGCTGACATGCTGCTTGGAATCAGCACGAACAGGGGATTATGCATTCTATTGGATGCATTTTACCTCAATTTGAACTGTATTTGTTGAGCACCTTGGAATGTTTTTTTGAGCTGCAGTGAGATAACCAGGGTCTTGCCTATCCATCGAGTGCCCTGCTGCTAGAATTGTGTGTTATAGAGCTTCAATCATGGTAATGCCATCTCGTTTTTCCCTCTTCATCTCTCTTTACAAACTTCCTTTTGATGATGAGTAAACCATGTCGACCTTCTCTCTTCTTTTTTTATAAATAAAAGTAACTTTATTAGAAAAGAAGCATCAAGACGATGCTAACAAATACAACCTGCACCACCAGAAGTACATATTAGACAAATAAAAAATCAACAAAATCCAAAAAAGAAAATAAATCCGGCTAAACCCTCCCTAACACCCAACTAGACAACACCATCAAAAATTTATTCTTCAAACAAGGCACCGACACCTCTACCCCTTGAAAAGTTTGACGGTTACGCTCCAACCAAACTAGCCACATTAAACATAGGGGCGCCAAATTCCAAGCCTTCTGATACTCGATCCCTCCTCCAACTGCACAAAACCTCCTTCACACTCCCTTGCTGCACCCAATCCAATCCAAACATTGCAAAAATCAAACCCCAAAGCGGGAAGGCCACATGACAATGAAGCAGCAAACACAAGACGAATTCCACATCCTGACAAGACAACACATACAACACTAATTGACCAAAATTTGACGATGACGAATCAAATTATCCAAAGTCAAAATCCTACCACACACAACCATCCACACAAAAAATGCCACTTTATTTGGCACACCCGCCACCCACACACTCCACAGAAAAGAACAATCCAAAAGCCCCACCTGGGCTTGGTAAAAAGAGGACACCGAAAAAACCCATTTAGAACCCTTACAACATCACACCACTCCATCCTCCCCCACCCCAACCCCTTGAATGCCATACAACAAAGCTAAAAATCCACCAACTAACCAACCTCCTAGTCAAACACTTGCCTCTGAAACCTCACATCCCACACGACCCTCTCATCTACTAGGGACATATACGACGTTACCATGACATCCTTATCTTCCACAAAACGAAACATTAGTGGAACCGAACCACCAAACTCTGTTCACCACATCAACTATCCTACCAAAACTACACCCACACATCCCTGTCCACCTAGAAATTCACCCACTGCCAAAACTTCCTCAAACCGAGCCAAATTGTCACACGCCAATTTTCAAAGATCAATTAGGCAGAAACTAATTAATCTAAGCATGAGATTTTTAAGTAAAACTATCTTTATTACTTAGTTCATACTCGAAATCACTTTTCTTATTCAATTCTCATTAAATTCTCGAAACTAAGTTTGCCTTGCAAAACGTGTTCAATGGCCTTAGATTAGATGAGGTGGGAAAACATGTCAATTTTTCCTTTATATAGCCTAACTTAACTTTAGGTGGCAAACAAAGTGTTTTTGATAAAGTTCGACTTACATTGAGAAGCATGCCGTTTGATAAATTTTGAAATAATTCACCCTTTAAGTTCGAAAACTCAAGTGTTCTCTCACATGCTGTAACAACCCCGACATCTGATTAATGTTAATCCATGATTAATTATGCCTAATTAGCAATTAAGGTGAAATTCTGAATTAAACTGCATGTGTGTGATGCATTGTTTGTGTCTATATCTGTTAAGCGTAGAAAGATCTGTTCACGTTTTAGTTTCGGCTTGTGAATTGAAGGTCTTATCGGCATCCGATTCTGGGATTGATTTAATATATGTGTTATATGGAATTTATAGAATTTTATGGTAAGTTCGATTTAAAATTTGTTACGGAACGATTAAATAAGATTAATTTAATCCCATTTAATTGCCTACGACTTTAACTAAATGGGCACCATTCCTTTATAAGTCCACTCATATCCTTTCCTTGATTTCAAAGCACTTTGAGCCTATTCTAAGGGGAAAAACGTGAGAGAGGAAGAGTATAGGGAGGTTGAGCTCAAATAAAGAATTGACTAGGAGATTGAAGACAATTTGAAGCTTTGGGTTAGGATCACTCTTGAAATCAACCTTAGGTAAGAACTATACTCTTAAACTTTGTATTTAAGACATTAAGTATTTGAACACAAGAAAGTTAGGTGGTCAATTAAGCTAAGATTGGAGAATTGAAGCTCAATGCATACATGCATGTGTAATTCATGGCATTTGAGGTTGTTTTCCTAAAAACTTCTTGCATGCATGTCATAATCCTAGCTTTGTTTTAGAAATTCTTCATGTTCTATGTCATATTGTCACAGTTGATCATGTTTTTGAGTTGAACATTGCATTTGGTCATGTTTTGGAAAACTTTGGTTCAAAGAATTGCATACAAGTCATGTACATGAATTATCCTTGAGTTTCACATTAAGTTTTGTTCAATTGGCATGCTTTTGGGCCATGATTTCTTGTTATGATGCTTTAAACATGTTGTTTTATGAGTCTCTAAGTGTTTTCCAAAGTATAGGGCCCAGAAAATTGAGTTTGATGCATTTGAGGTTGATTTTGAGCTTGGCGATCAAATCTGGAAATTCCAGAAATTTGATCCGCGCTCGAGCGTGCACTCTAAGTACATGCACTTCCGCTCGAGCGTCGATGGTCACGCTCGTGCGTGAAATGCATATACCTAGAAGTTTGTGTGTTTTGCAGTCCGCTCGAGGGAGGGTCCGAGTCTCACGCTCGAGCGGGGATCGAGCGTCTGTCGAGCGTGAAAAACATGCAACCAGTACTTTTTCAAAAGTTTGCAGTCCGCTCGAGCGTTGAAAGTCACGCTCGAGCGGAGCTTCATTGTCTGCATGTCCGCTCGACCGAGGAAATCTACGCTCGAGCGTGGACCTTATTTTCAACAAGTTTTGAAAAATGTTTTCCAATACATTTTTGCATTCTCATTCCATCTTAGGCATTCCTAGGCCATGATTAAGACTCCATAATGAGGATTAAAGACTAGAAACGCACTAAGAGCAACGAAGTTAGTTATGTACAATTCGAGCGTGTGTTTTAGGTGTGTTTCTGTTATGTGTCATGTAGGTCACGTGCCGTATACCGTTTGAATAGTCTGCTCCGTTTGTCTGCCTTGAAGCCAACCGTGAGTAATAACTTAGTAAAGTTATGTTCAACTGTATTTATTTTCTGTGTGATAAAGTAAGATCTGTTTTCTGAAGTGCTATATTCTGTACAATGAATGATTGTCCAATTTCTGATATGTGTTCGTGGCATCCTTAGCATCATGTGATATGTGTTAGCTGTTACCCGGTATCGGAGGTTCCATTATGGAACTCAATATGTCTGCACTCCGTTACCCGTACCGGAGGCTCCATCATGGGGCTCAGCATGTTTATTCTCTGTTACCCGGATCCGGAGGTTCCTTTATGGAATTTGGTTATTTATAACCCCCACGTGTTCTGCATCTGCTCTGTCAACGCTAATGGATGTATCCCGTATGCTTAAGCAAGACTTATGACTTCTGTATATGATCTAGACAAGAATATGAATATGAATTTGTTATGAAAACGAATTATGATTTTTGAATCTGTATGGACTCATTCATTAAAACCCTTTACTCCGTTATTATTCATTGGGCTTCCGCTTACTGTTTATATTATGTATGTAGGTGAGCCGGTGCGTGATCAGGGCCAGAGTTGACAGCCCACGTTTCAGTTTTGTCTGCCAACTCTTGCGCCTCCCGAGGAGGTTCCTGTTGAAGTTCAGTTTTGTGGCTGTTTTTGTAATCTGTATTAGACTATGTTATTGCTAAGTTGTGGGCGAGATTTTTGTCCTGAACGCCTAAGTGTGTTGTGTATATATAACATGTGTGTTGACTTCGCCCACATTTTATAAAAGTTTCAAGCTTTACTATCTCATGTATGTTATCACAACTCATTGGACTTTGTCTATTTTGTATATTTCCTTCCGCAGCCCTTATTATATGCTAATCTGTCATGAGGCCTTTGGTAATCCAAGGATTACTGGCCGGTTGCGATGCTAAACCTATAGGGGCGGATTTGGGTCGTGACACATGCTGAACACATCCTCACCTGGTATGCAAATTAACAAAATAAAGTTCATCATGCAATAATGGAAATGAATGCTTAAGTTACAGAGTCAAAATTAATTAATACAATAATCTAACAAAAAGGTGTAAAGGCACGCATGCCCAAATTAACCTAGGGTCTATAACAAAAGAAACCATGTCCTGATGCTCATATAGACCGGTGTCCATCGATACTTACACAATGCAAGGGGGTGAGCTAGAAAGCATGGATACGGATACGAGATACGGATACAACGATATGATAAAACCTAAAACAATAGGATATAGGTATGGCTAGAATATGTTTGTAAAAAATATATTTTTAAAAATTATTAGTAATATGTTACACATAAGCTAAAGAATGTTGAGAAACTACAATGTTATTTATAATGCAAAATACTAACCTTTAAGAATTTTGTATTAATTTAAGTTAGTAGTTGTTTACCTTTTAAATTTTCAACACGTCTTGCAAATATTTCATTTATGTTTATATTACAATAATAGAACAATTCACAACTTGTCTATATGCTTTTCCCTTTGACATTAGTAAAAAATATTGTATTCAAGTTTACTTATTTATTTATTGATATTTAGTTTTACTATTGTTATATTCTTTTGTTAATTCTTACTTTCTATGTAGTTATAGGAGACATACATGAAACAATTAGGATACATCAATTTGACAAATTCTATTATTTAACTCACTATGTTCTTCTTATCAAAGAACTAAACAAAGTATTAGAAAAATATTCTTATATTTATTCTTTTAACTATATTATATTATATTATAATATTATACAATAAATGTTACAATTTTAATTTTGTAAAACAAGTAATACATGACTTGGAGTATCTGATACTTCAAAATTAAGTATCCGATACTCCAAAATTAATGAAAAATTAATTAAGAAGTATCTGATACTTTTAATAAGTATTTGAAATGTATCCGCTTCCGCAAGTATCCAATGAGTATTGGTATCCGATACAGACACGATATAGATACGTCACCTTATTTGAAGTATCTGTGCTTCATAGGGGGTGAGTATTGACACTCACCCGACAATAATCTCATTTCTTACTAAGTAAACATGTTAGTGTCGTGATAGGTAAAATTCTATTGGCACCACTCTAATAGTGGCACAAGGCACCTCAGTTAGAAGTGGAGCTGCAAGGGTTTCTTTTTAGTATATGCTTCCATTTCATATGAATGGATATGCTTGGTTGTGATCCTTTTATGAAATTTATGTGCCCCATTTCCTTCATGTAGTTGTAGACTGGTAGTAAATTGAGTATTAATGATGAGATTTCCCAATGTGTATATATATTGTTCAATAAGTGTGACGAGATTTCCCAATATCATGTTAAGAATAGCTACTGATAGACAAATTTGTTTGGAGACCGATTTATCACCAAAAAAAAAAATGTTTGGAGACTGTTTTTATCACGGAATTACATCTGTGTCATGCCTGTTAAGAATAGCTGCTCATGCTTGTCAATATCTGTGTGCAAAATATCCATTTCCTCTGCTTTTTTCTGTATCTGTTCCTGCAGTTTTTCTGTGATATCTTTGCCCTCAGATTCTAGTGCTGAAAATTTCAGCAACAAATCTTGCTGCAAGGTCGGAAGAAAGAAACAAAATTGTAAAGCATATCAACATAACACAAATAAAATATATTTTACATATGATTACATTTACCATTTTACTCTCAGATAAACCTATTTATTAAGAAGACAATAGGTACCTTTGAAAAAAGCTACGGTAATAATGGGAAAAAAATTCCTAGCATTTCCTCTGGGAATTGAACATGTTGCTAAGATTGCTTCTTGATTTAAGGACAAGATGATTGATGGGAAAACAACAATTTGAGCAAATGCATTCGTAGAGATAAAAATAAATGGCCCCTTTTCATTCATGCCTCTAGTTGTGAGACTCTACTGAGTAATGACTTTTTTAGTACAAGTCTTACCTAGTTATTTACATGCCATGCAGAAATGTTTTTACAAATAACATTATGCCATTTGATTCTAACAATTAATTCTGCTAGTGCCAATATTTTAATGACCCAGAGATAGTGATGTTCTCTAGGGACCTTGCTATCTTCACCTAAGAGGGCATGATGTAGGTGCTCCTCAACCACATGGACAGAACAATGGTTGTTGATGTTTTTCGATGTGGCTTATTATGCAGTCATCTTTGGCCATGATTCTTTATCCATTATTTACTGACATTTTTCATCTACGAAATTAAACCGAGATTTGTCATGATAATTGACAAAGCAGAAATAATTTCTTCGAAATTGTTGGCCTTTACTTTCTTTCCTTTGTTTATTATATTTGTAGTTTACAAATTATAGAATGTTTATTTATTTATTTTTTATTTAATGATTTGCTGCTTGAACTCAGCACTTTTCAAGCATCAGTTTCTTAGTTGGAACCGCAACCCTAGTTTGAAAATTAATTTGGTTTCTATATTTTGTACTATAAAAAAATTGTTTTTCTACTGAATTGCAGATCAGGATGGTTGCAGGACAGTAATGCAGTACTTTCGCATTTTAACGAGTACTCAGAGCATTGCTTTGTAGAGGTTTCCACTGATTTCTCTAGAAATGCACGTCTCTTAAGGTCTATGAAGTCAGACCTCGATTACATATTTCAAAAGTTGAGGTATGCTTATCATTTTTTCTTGCACCCATCATGCTGAGTACTTACTACATGCTTAATCTTTTTGGAGTGATTGTGATTGTCAATTTTTGGTTGCCAATTCATGATATTTATATGGTATTTTAACTGCGAATTTTGCTAATATGCAAGTATAATAAAATGTACAATGACTTTTTGCTGAAATGGTTCCTGCACTTGAAAATTTGTGTTACTATTCAAGTGTGTGTATGGTTGTGTTCTGGTCTATCAGTCCTGCTCCCTAATGATGTAACTTATCCCAGTGCATCCTTCAAATTGAAAATGCTATGTTGTGCATGAGAGTTCTCATTTCTTTTGTTAAAAAGTTCACTATGCTTTCCTCATTCTCTGCCTTTTGGACCCTAGGTCCCTAGTACAATCAACTGGGTTTGGCATTTTTTTTCATGTACAACCCTCAACTATTGCAATTCAAGTCTCCACTGCATTTAGTATCAATTTTGTGAAAAGTTGAAAACAGAAGACCAGACTTAGAGCAACTATTACAAGACTAATGCATATGTGCGAGCAGTTCTTTTTCTTTTTTCCAATTTTCTTTATTGATTTATTGATTCGCCATATTTTGCTATTTAAATATATGTTAAAATCTGCTATCCATTACTAGGAACATGTGGTTCAGTTTGAAATGGCTCGAAGAAGGGGCTTTGTCCTCTAGTTGCTCAATAGTGTTATTGCCAATATTATGATTTATAATTTTTGAACATCCGTACATACTGAAAGTGGAAATTTAGTCCCCATCCAATGGAGACTAAATTGGGCATATTTTTATTTATTTATTTAATTTAAGCTCGTGGTAGCTCCAATAGTTAATTAAATTTAAGCTCCACTTTTCTTTGCTTTTCTTTTCCAGAAAATGCTCTGCTTAAATCGAAGTGGAAGAATTACAGCCCAGGATGCGCTCAAGCATTCGTACTTCAGAAATGTTGCAGCTGGTCGTTGATAGCCATCCCTCATCCTATCTGCTTGCTGGAATGGACTGGTATAGCAATTAGGTTACAATTTGAACTAGAGTACGCAAATTTGTTGATTTTATTTTCTCCCCTTGAATTAGATTTATACTAGCATTGAACAGGTGCTTGGAATCTCTCTCTCTCTCTCTCTCTCTCTTTCTCTTTCTCTCTCTCAGTAGGATAACTCATAAGTTTTCTTTGCTAAGGCAGGTTTACTTGAGTCTTCATTTTGACCATTGTACATCCATTGCAAAAGCATATTGAGATGGTGAACGTTTAAGTAGGTGGTGTCTACAAATTTATTCTGAATATATATATGTTGTGCATCAGTACATGTTTGGGAGAACACAGATGCACTCTTCCATGAAGAGTTGAAAATCAATCTACAAGGGCAATTTATCTTCACTTCTCATGGCCTAATTCTTGCCATAAAGTCCTATATTGATGAGTGCATTCATTGGACTATACTGGGTGTTTTTATTATGCTAAATAGCAAGTACCTTTAACTTTCACAATCTCAAAAAATGTTTTGTACATGATATATATACATCAAGTACCTGAAGGATGCTTGTTGATGGACTGCTGTTTAAGTATATGAAGTCCTCAACTACTTCCATTGCCAGCACATTTGTTCCTCTGTCTGACACTATGGACATTAGTGGCTGTAAATGTCAGTTTTGTTTACTTCATTTGTTGTCCTGATTCTAATTTGTTATGGAGTGATATATAGCTCAATAATTGCTGAGTAGTTGAAATATGCACACACACGGAAGGTACAATGACTGAAAAGATCAGCAGTGAGCTTAGCAATGCAACAATGACAACCATGGTACAATGCTAGGAGCTCCAGCAGCTGTCTTATTGTTATATATTCTTAATGTTGGAGTTAGAACAAGAAGGGTATTTATAAATGAGACATAATACCTCTCAATTCCCTTATTGTTCTTGGGTCTATGAGAGTTATTGTTGTTCAGTCATTTTCCTGTAAATGCTTAATTACTATCTTCAAATTCTCGTGTATTGAATTTCCTTTAGAGATATTATGCTCCAGAATTTATCTTCATCGTCTTTGCTTATAGTTCCTTCATGTTTTCAATTGCAGAAACAGTACAATGTGAATGCACCTTGCTACTATCAGGTAGATGGATAAGGTGATGGCGGTTTCATTTGCAAGACAATCAAGAACTTTGTGGATTACATACATGGTGGTCGTCTTTTGAATTTATTAACTTTTGTGTTTGAAAAATGACACATGGATTTGTAAATTGTTGGTGGATTATTTTTGGTGGTTAATTTTGAATTTGTTGTGGTTGTTTTGAAAAATTATTGCATGGAGTTGGTTAATTTTGATGTTTGTTTTTAATAGTTGGTGGAATATTTGATATATTTTTGGGCACTCGGTCCTAAATCCAAATTCAAATTTTATTTGGTGAACGGTCCAGGCGCTAAAATTGTTTGTTCAAAAGGACAAACTCAAGCAAAATGACCAAAATGCCCTTATTTATATATACTATATATGATCCCAAGCCTAATAGTCTTGCGTGCTCGCGTGCGCGCGCGCACACTCTCTCTCTCTCTCTCTCTCTCTGTGCAAATCAAACCCAAGCGTCTCTCTTGCTCTCTCTCTCTCTCTCTCTAGAAACCACAAACATCCACTACTACCACCGGCATGGCTGGTTTTGTCCGCAAGCACGTGTCAATTGGCGTTGTGCCGCCGTCTCTCTCTCTCTCTCTCTTCTCTGCAAATCAAACCCAAGCGTCTCTCTCGCTCTCTCTCTAAACCATCAACATCCACTACTCTCTCTACTCTATCTCTCTCTCTCTCTCTCTAGAAACCACAAACATCCACTACCACCATTGGCATGGCTGACTTTGTCCGCGAGCATGTGTCAATTGTGCTCAAGTGTTGCGCCGCCGTCGATAGTGTCACCTACTTCTTCTCCAACCAGATCACTGAGTTCATCAACCATCGAGACATTCATGAGAAGACCTTCAACATATATCAAAGTACCATAGATAGCAACTAGATTTGTGATCAATGTGGAGCTGCCAATCTAGATGTAGACGCGAAATTCCGAGTTTCAAGTCAATTCTTTGTGTTTCTAGCTTCCACTTCTACGAACATAATTGTACTTCAGGCCTCGATCTGTCTATTCTCAACACCATACTCTCTACTGAAAGCAAGTATGTAATATTGAAAGCAAGTGGTGCCAACTATTCCTCAGTAGTTAAGACAACAATCATGTATGTAATATTTTTATCTTCACTTTCTGTTCAGGTCAATCTCTCTCTTGCTCTCTCTCTAGAAAGTGTCAATACTATTTCATTTAATTTATCTATGCTGTTGTGACTTTTCATTTCACTAAATTTTTCCTATTTTGGTTTTAAGAATTATTTATATATATATATATATATATGTTAGTGGGTTCTTTTGTGGGTAATAAATATTGTTTGTGTTTTATTTGGTTTGTAGTAAGTGGTTTGGATTGAAATTTTCAAGAAGCTTAAATCCAAAGCCATGGAGGTGTAAAAGGACAGATGGGAAGAAGTGGCGGTGCTTGAGAAAATTATACAGATAAATTTGTGCAGATAAAAATTATATAGATATGAAAATTTGTACAGATAAATTTGAATAGAAAATTTGTATAGATAAAAATATTAAATAGATAAAAAATTGGAAAGGTAAAATTTGGACAGTTTGCATGGATAAAATTTGGATAGATAGAAAACTTACACAGAAAGATTTGAACAGTTAGACAATTTACACAGAAAAAAATTGAACAGATAGACAAAAAAATTTGAACAAATAGATATAAATTTGAACAGATAGTCAACGAATAGTCAAACAGATAAAAAAAAATCAAGGGGTAAAATTGAAAAATAAAATGTTCTTCAGGACTTCTTACCAAATTATTTAATAAAGTGTGGACCTCTTCACCACCACCAAAAAAAAAAAAAAAACCCAGAACTAATGCCTTAGACAATTGTTAGAGTGGATTTTTTACCCATTTTCTCTATATTTTGGTTCAATTAAAAGGATTATTATGTGTATATATATATATTGTTTGAAGTATTTATCCAATACAAAATCAAAAGGCAAAAAAAATAAATAAATAAATAAAAAATTTAGCTACCCGCAATTAAAATATTGTCAAATTTTAAGAGACTAATTTTAATTTTCTAAAAAATCGAAGCTTTTTTAAATTAATTTCAGTTGTCTCAAAAACCAAAACTTTTTCCCACTACATAATGTCATAATTCCGTCATTAAAAGTTTAAAGTTCATTATTTGGTTTTTAGTAACGTGATTTTAAAATTTTGGTAACACACTTTTAGAAACAAATTTTAGTTGTGTAAAAAATTAAAACCTTTTGCCATAACATAATTTTGTCTTTAAAAGTCTATTTATAGTGACGATGTCAAATTTTGTTACTAAAAGTCTATTTTTTACTTTTTCGGGTGACATTTTGGACTAAGCGCATGACTATGTGAATCGGTGACACATTCTGAACTAAGCGCACGATTATGTGAATCGATTGGCTAAAGTTTTTACCGACTAATATTGCATTTTTAGGAACAAAAAAATTTATCCCTAAAAAGCTTATTTGTTTTTCTAGCTCGGCCAAAAGGTCATACTCTAGTCCTGTTCAGAGATCTTTAGTTCGAGCTTATGTTGCATCGATTTTAGCTCCCACAGAATCATAACAAATGTCTTGAAAAATCTTCCATTGGGGAGAATCGAGGAGTCAAATCTCTTACGTTTTAGTATGGTGTAGAGACTTTTGAACAACCAACTAAATGCCACTACTTCAACTGTAACTAAGATTGGAGAGATTGTCTCAAGCAACACTTCTAATTTTGTAACTTGTGACTTCTGGGGCTGCTATGATTTTTCTTTTATTTGCATTTTTAAGAGTTGCGGATTGGGTTTGTTTTGATTGGATGGGCTGTAGCATTGGTGATTTTTCTTTTTCTCTTCTTTGTTGATGTGAGACTTGTACTATTTTTTTAGAGAAAATATCATTTTACTCTCTAAATTTTCACTTATTTTTTAATTTGACATTTAGATTTCGATTAATATCAATTTCGAAATTTTGATCAATTTGGCCCCTGCCGTCACATTCCGTCTACAATTGAACAGAATGTGCTGATGTGGGGGGCAAATTGATTTTTAAGGTATAGTTTGAAAAGTTAAATGAAATTTCAAATGAACTTTGGTACAACATCATCACATTTCGTCCAATTATAGATGAAATATAACAACAGGAGCCAAATTGATTAAAATTTTGAAAGTTTGGATGTAAAATTAATATTAATCAAAGTCTAGGGGTCAAATTAAAAAACGAGTGAAAATTTGGAGGTTAAAATGATATTTCATTTTTTTTTTTTTATCAATAAAGTTTCTTCTTTACTGATAAAAATAATAAAAAAAAACTTATAATAATGAGTAGCTGATATCTTAGCCTTATTATGTTAATTTGCAAGTTAGTATGGATTGGGTGCCCAAAAAACATTTAAAAAAAAAAAAAAAAAAAAAAAAGCCAAAGAAATCCCTACCTCAAAGTAGAAGACAAGAAGGAAATAAGGGGTAGAACTTGATGGAGCCAAAAACACTAACTTTTTTGATTAAAATGAAGCCCTCGATGTGCTCAACGTTTTTCTCCAAAGGAGTAGGGTAAGGAGCCCAACGGATTTAGAATATTTGGAGCTAGAGTACAAGAACTAGAGAGAGAGTGTGTATGGATCTAGGGTTTTGAAATGTTTAGAGAGTGAATGAGATAAAAAAGTGACTCAAAATGGCCCTCCCTCAGGCTGATATACGCACAGACTGCTCGAGCAACCAAAAGACCGCTGAAGCGAACAGACACAATAAGTGACACTGCTTGAGTGACCAAAACCAACACTCAAACGTACAATAACCCTCTCCCAGTAGTTTTATAGACCTGTAAAAGACCGCTTAAGCGCAAGAAAGACCACTTGAGCATAGATTCCTAACTCCGAGTATATATATATATATATATCTTCATCCTAACTACAAAAAAGAAATGCTACTCTCTTCTCTCTCTCTCTCCATCTATGTATAAATGTGGTTTTGTGGAGTAGAATGTGTTGGGTCCTCCATAGAAAAAAGTAGGATTTGTGATGATCTTTGGTTGGAAGAAGAATGATGATATTTGTTTCTTAAGTAAAGATGAAATGGAAAAAAGTAAAGAGATGGACATGGGGGGTGGGGGCATAAAGTTTATGTCAATCAACATTACAGCATGCATTGTCTCCTTTTGAGGTATCAATCATCCTTTCCCTTGCCTTTAAATTAACACTTTCCTTTAATCACTACACCCAATTCACTTTTTTTTCTATCATATCTTTAAAATCAACTTCAGTTAACATAGGATATCAAACTAATAATAATAAGAAGGAGAAGGAGAGGAGGAAGAAGAATATTGTGTGCTCCACAAGCATACATCTAATAGATTTAATATAATTAAGGGTAAAATTTAGTTTACTCCCTTATAGTTTATGGCAAAAACACTTTACTCTCTATGATTTAAATATAGGTAGAGAGGCCTCGTACAATTTTGGACTAATGGGATTATTTATACGAATATTTGTTAAACTATTGAAAAGTATCATTTTGACTCTTGAGCCATACAAGCGTACAAATTGACTTCCTAAACTATTGAGAAATGTCGCTTTGCCTCCTAAACTAAAGCATACAAATGAACCCCCTAAACTATTGACGTATTTAATTTTGATCCCTTCCATTAAGGGGTCAAATTGGTAAATTTTTATGGTTTACACTACGCCAAAATTGGGCTTTAACGGCGGTTTTTTACCGCCGTTAAAGGCTGTAAAACCGCCGTTAAAGCCTTTAACGGCGGTATTAACGGCGGTTTTGTTACCGCCGTTTATGCGCGTGTCGGAAAAAGTACAACCGTCGTAAAAAGGTAAATTACCGTCGTCGACCAAAAACGGCGGTAACATAGCCACTCCCCAAGTAAATAGGTTCAAATTTTTCAAAAAATAATTCTTTCTTCTTGCACTCCCCAAGTCTTGAACTCTCAACCTCTCATCCACCCACATTAACCACTCTACCATAGCCACTCTTCATGAAATATATTCCCTAAATAAATATTTAAACATTACTTTTACTTTATTGTAGATAGTTTCACCGAAGCACGCCGGAGTTTCGCCGGCAAAGACCGCCGTCATTAACGGCGGTAATGATTGGGCATTAGCGGCGGTTTTGTTACCGCCGTTAAAAAAACCGCCGTTAATGCCCTGTTTTGGCGTAGTGATTGATGCCCTCTACTCCTCATCGTC